AATGGACGTGAGCGTTGTACGTGTGGGGGGGGGAGGGGGGGGAAACCTGTGGCAATTGCTACGAGTTCACCACCAACCTCACCTCTACCACCACCATCCCTGCTGCCAGGACTAACGTCTGACGTCGATCAAGTCAGTGAGTGAACAACACCTGTTGAACCATGCTGAGCTGCTTTATGTATGGGTGAGGGTTGGGTGTGCCGGTGGTGATGGGGACGGTGGCAGCGGCAGGCGGCAACCGCAGCAGCTCGAGAGAAGGAGACGGCAAGTTGTGACGTGTAAGTCGAACGTGGGCGGCTGGGACAAGGACGACAGCGGCACATGGAAGGCGGCGGCGGTGGCGACAATGTGGCAATGACATCGGCGTGTCCGGCAACTCAACATTTTTAGTTATTTTTTCAGTGGTGGTCGCACAGGCACAGCTGAGAAGTGAGAAAACCTACTGGAACGGTTTCACTTGCTGAAGGTCGCTATGAACCGACGACGATACTCGGGTGGATTAATTGTATTACGGATAGGGATTCAGGGCAGGGGCGCTCCATGCACATCGGGCCGTTAGGCCCGAGGAGCAAACTGCAAAGGCCTGAGGTGCTCCGGGTTGTTGCCGTGTGCCTCAGCGCCCTGTCGGCACGCGAATATGACCTTAATGAGAGTAAACAAGTATTGAACGATGTCAATAATCGAGATGAGGGCGCCCAGTTGCGTTTTCTTCTGAGTCGAAGAGAACTGGATGTAAATATTGATTAGGAAATGTCGGACCGGGTCTTTTCTTTAATAACTCTGAATTAGGCTGTCGCACATCTTGATTGCGGGGATGTGGTCTAGTGGTATGATTCTCCATTCGGGTTGGAGAGGTCCCGAGTTCGATTCTCGGCATCCCCCTTTTGCCATTTTGCCCTTTTGCCCTTCTTTTGCCTGGCCCTTCTTTTGCGATCTTCGTTTACCCTCTTTACTCTTTTGTTTAGCTGGAAGCTCGTACGTCACTATTGCCCTTTTGCCCTTTTGCCCTTCTTTTGCCTGCCACTTCCTTTGCCATCTTCTTCTACCCTTCCTTTACCCTTTTGTCCAGCCGGAAGCTCGTACGTCACCCGCTCACGTGTCGCTTTTCATTAAGGAGGTTACCTGCTCGCTTCTCAATACAATGACGCACGCGCGACAACCCGCCTCTTGGACGGGGTCAGATGAGTGCTCGCCGACGGAGGCGCCTTTGCCCTTTTGCCCTTTCCTCCAGCAGGACGCTCCAGCACTGCTGGTCCTGCTCCTCAGCCTAACTTTGTCACCTTGGCTGTTCAGATCTGGGCAAGTTCCTTGTTCCTCGGCACAGCTCATGGGCACGCCGCAACTTCTACCGCCTGGCAGTTTCTGCGTCTAGGTGGCCCCGGGTGTCAGCGTGTGATCGTCACTCTGTTGAGTTCCAGCGTCACCTTGCGGTGATACCAACATGCCGACTGAGCTCCGAAGCAGGTGATTTCGAGGAGCGAGGTGCGCGAGGGACCAGAGCGTCCGGCTGTTCGAAAGGGCAAAAGGGCATGGGGCGTATGGGCGCATGGGGAGCGAAACACCTCTCTTCGTATTTCTGCGCCTTCGTGCAAATTTATACAGGCAAAAGGGCAAAAGGGCACAGGGGAAACACTTCTCTTCGCATTTTCTGCGCCTTCGTGCAAATTTGTACAGGCAAAAGGGCAAAAGGGGGATGCCGAGAATCGAACTCGGGACCTCTCCAACCCGGATGGAGAATCATACCACTAGACCACATCCCCGCGATCACTTCAGACATAGAATTCGAATTGGACAACTTCAACACAAGACCCGGTCCAACATTTCCAAATTAATACTTACAACCAATTCGCCTTGCACTCAGTTCTATAGAGAACGCAACTGGGCGCGCTAATCTCTGTACAAATATCGAGTTGCGACTTGTTTGCAACGCTTTCACGTGCATTTTTAACACAACGACAAGGAACGGCACGCTGCAACAAACCTGGCAACTCGGTCCTTTGCTCACCGCGGGCGAGTGGCCTCGACGGCCCAATAGGTAGCGCCATTGGCCTATCGCCCGAGACCTCGCGCGCCACGTGCGGGTCGCTCCGGCTGCAATTTTAGAGCGGAGGCTCTTCCTCGTTCCTTGGCAAACGCTCAAAAGCCAACTCATCAATCTACTTGAATCTACTCAAGACTCAACCTAATGTTTTCCATTCGATTCCTCTCGTCGTCGTCGGTCCATAACAACGTCAAGTTTGCAAGTGAATCCACCGTTCCAGCAGGTCTTCTGCTCCTCTGTTGCCTGTGGTTGCCTGACCACCACTGAAAAAATTACATCGTTGATTTGACACGCCGATGTCTTTGCCACAACTGGGCGATATATTTCATCAACGATATTTCAAGCGCTGGCCTCGTCGCTCCAAAACGAGGAATAACCTTCAGTCCGGAAGGTACAACACACAGGGGTTCCCTTGGCACATGTCTCAGCGACGATGGCCAGATGCTTAAGCCACTTTGTGGCATTCAATCATAGCCGCCTTACCATGGCGACCACTCGCGGACTCAGCGGCAGGGGGTGGCCCCGAACGACCAGTGGGCAGGAAGTGCCCTTTTGCCCGGGACCGTGCGGCGGCTCCCGGACCGTCCGACCGACCTGACGCTCGCTCGCTTTTAAAATGCGAGTGACCTGACGGCGCAGAGTTCCGGCGGGCTGGCGCTAGAACTCTGGTGCGCAAGAACTCGTCGCTCCTTTCACCACCCCTGCACGCGTTGCACCTCAGCTCTGCCGCTGCGCACACCCGCCCACTCGCTGACGCTGACGGGATGGCGCCAGGCGTGAGATGGATGCCTCTCGGCCGGTGGACGGCGGTGCACATCCTGCTCGTCGGCCTTCTGGGGGTGGTGGCCGTCATAGTGAGTCTCGGTGGAATAGACGTGAGCTTCAACTACCTCGAGCCCACGTGTGGGATCCCCGATCCCCCCGACCTGAGCTTTGGGGATCAGATGCCCACACCATCCGAGCCGCACGACTATGGGCAGGACCTGAGCCTCATCCCGCACGACACAATTCAATTCGACGGTGCGGCGGAGATCGAGCTCGCACTCGAGTGGGCCGAAGTGCCGCCAGGAAGCTTGTTCTTCGGCGTGCACAGCGGCGGCAACGCACTCTCCATATTCTATACTCCGGACGGCGCACCCTTTGCGGGTTCTAGCCCCTGCCTGGAGTGGGGCGTACCGAGCCTGCTTGCCTACCACCCGAGTTTGCTCATCGAGGTACGTACCCCTCCCCCCTCCCCCCCCCTCAAATCGCATTACACAACCCCTCCCCCCCCCATTCATCCTTATGAATTTTTTTAATTTTTCACATCGACACAGGGGTATATATCACCTGCGGGCTGGGCGATGTCAGGCAAGGCAACCCAGGTGTTCGTCGCGGTTGGCGGACAGCTCGTAGTGCGGCTGAGGAGTGGGCTCTCGGTCTCGTGTGCAGGATTTCGCCTGGCGACTGGGTTGGCCGGCGGCCTGCTGGCCGCGACGCAGCTCAACGAGAGCGAGTTCGCGGCTCGCGGGCGGCCGTGGTGGGTGGGCGCACCCCAGTGTGCTGTTGAGGGCGCCCACCTACACTGCACGTGCGCGCGGCTATCAGCACCGGTACCGGCCGACGCGGCTGCGACCAGCTTGTCCGGGAGGCGCGCAATCGGCGACCAGGCGTCAGAGACCGTGAGCGTGTGGTTCGGCTTCCTACATGCGTCGGGGGGGTCACTGACCCTCTCGGTCAGTGAAAACCCTGGTGGGCCGCTGTGACGACGTTCACCTAGGCCCGCCAGTGTCTAGAGCTCTTAAGTTAAGAAGAGGTCTTACTAAAACTAAGTACCAAACGCTATCAAATATATAAGGCCAGTGTCGAGGGGTCCGACACTTTTTTCCGGACCTCCTACTCAAACCCTGGCCCTAGACTGGACCAATCCGGTCGGTTTGGGGGCGGCGGACGGAGGTGGACGGACGGGGGGGTCTGTTTTGGATTTTAAAACTGGAGAATGGGGGACGGACGGAGGTGGACGGGGCGGACGGAGGCGAACGGACGGACGGACGGACGGGGCATTTACACCAAAAACACCGGTCAAACCGGTCCGATGCGGCGAATCCGTGGTCCGGGGCGGCGAATCCGGTCTGCAAGTGGCGTACCGTAGTAGTTGAAATATTTTTAAGCAGTTGGAATTTTTAAAAGCCGCCATCGCTCCACCCCCTTCGGCGCCCCCCCTCTTACCGACCCGGCGCGATGACGACGGTCCACCAGTGCGATGACCCGGGGTGCGAGTACAAGACGCCAACCGGGGTGCGCCACAAGCGCGGCCAGCGTGCGGAGGCTCCCGGTACATTACCGGACCTCGTACTTGGTCGGGCGCCGTGACGGGCAGGCCCATGGCCCATGGGAGAAGGGGGCAGGCGGGGGACGGGGGCGTCGGGCCTTGGCGGCAAAAAACCGCGCCGAATCGGTCCGAGTCGGCGAATCCACACGTGTGTTTCCATACTTAAATTTTGCGTGTAAATCCAGTGCGTGAGTTCAAGTCGGCGAGGGCCAGGGAGGGGCGCGCCATCTGGTGAGCGCAATTTTTAATATCATAGAGTTCACCACCAACCTCACCTCTACCACCACCATCCCTGCTGCCGGGACTAACGTCTGACGTCGACCAAGTCAGTGAGTGAACAACACCTGTTGAACCATGCTGAACCGCTATATATATATATATATATATATGTATATATATTCTAGAGCAGCGGGCGCTATCTTTAAAAGTTAGATTAAATTCAGAAGAATCAACTGAGATGCACCATACGGCTGCGGTGTGCGGCTCAGATGGCTTATTTGTATATCGGCGCCGCAGCTCAGATGGCTCCCTCGCGTCGTCGTACATCTGCGTCGACTTGTCGCTGCCGGCGAGCACGGCGCGCAATCCCTCATTCTCCTCGCGAACACGTGCGGTGATCGCATCGAGGGCGCCGGCCTTGTTGTGCGCGTTCCGCAGCGCGCGATCGGTGTCTTCCAGCGACGTACAGATTGTGCGCATCGCGGTGCGCGCCGCATGCTGCCACTCGCAGTCAGCAGCCACTGCGCAACAGCCACGAGTGCACCCGGGGTCTTGCTCTGGACGCGAGGACCGCGACTTGCGGGCGAGACTTTTATTGCCCTCGCAGCGTTGACTTGACCCGCCAGGATGGTGGGGGTTGGTGGGGGTTGGTGGGGGTTGGAATCAACCCCCACCATTCGTTCGTGCACTGAGAGGTCTACTGCGGACCCCTCATTTTGGTGGGGGGTGAAGGATTCTCACCAATTTTTTTTTCATGGGGGTGATCCCGTCCCGTTGGATATGGTGTCACAGTTGTGACTAACTAAAATATTGAAAAAAAAAAGCTCAAAACCTTTTTAGAGAGAAATCCTTCATCCCCCATCAAAAATGAGGGGTCCGCAGTAGGCCTTTCAATACGCGAACAAATGGTGGGGTTGTTTTTCATCCCCAACCAACACCCACCAACCCCCACTATATTTTACATAATAAATTATAATTAAAAAAAAAAGGCGTTATCCAGCGAAGTAGGAACGTCTGTCCTACTCTCCACCTTCAGCCTGCGCGTGGGCGACCAACTGGAGCTAACGTTCGAAGACCAGCCGCCGCTCATCGCCGCCACGCTCACGGTTGAGGGGATCATACCGAGGGCGTGCGGCTGCCCATCTCGAAGGACTATGGCCACTCAGTCGGTCAGCGCAACAGCCGTGCAAGTAAGCAACAGCCGCGAGGCTTACGGGCAACGTAAGCTGCGACGCTTACGCGTGCGCCCGTTGCCCACGCGCTCACACTACTACCGAGAGCGCATGCAACCGACGCTATCTCTCGCGCCTATTGCTGTTTAGTGCTGCGTCATTGGCGGTGACTCAAACCAGCGTGAGTCATTAATACTCCAGTATGTCGCTAAGGCGAGTAAACTAAAATATTTCTGTTTATGATGAGGACCGTGTATGGCTGCACCCAAGCCCAGGCGGAGAACTCAGAGATTTTCGGCTCCGTTCTGCGGCAGAACCCCGGTTCGATGCGGACCGAGGAGGCGCTTCTCCGCGCGCGCGTGGCTGCAGTCGACGTCTATGTGGAGCTCGACCAGCCTGATGGACAGGCCGCCGTTGGTCACATCGTCGAGATGAAGACGGTCCACTACGGCCTGACGCACTACAACGCGGTTGCGCCGACGCGCGGCCACG